TTTCCTGTCTCTTGCTTTCATTCACCACCCCCTTCTTCTTGAACATCCACCTACCCGAGAGACATCTTAGCAGTAACTGGCATGTCATGACAAGCAGCCCATGTAGTGGTAAAGTCTTATGACAAGATGGGGCCTTCCTCGGTCTAGGCCTGGAGGGAAGCCATCGTCACTCCCCTGCTTCAGGATGTGCTATAGGAGAGACAGCCCTGTGCTGCTGCCAGTCTCTGAGATGTGAGGCCAGTTGTCAGCCCACCTCAGTGTGACATAGCTCGACCTCTCCGGCATGGCCTGATGCCACCCACCTGTCTGCTGAGAGTCTGACTCCCCCACCGTCTTGTCCTGGGCTCTTCTGAGGTCTTCCGGACCGTGCCATGTGGACTTGTGAAAATGAGCTAAAAGGCTGTGTTTCCTTCTTTCCAGTTGCCCAGAGTGATGCCCCCAGTTTCTGCCCTCTGGCTGCTCCTCCTGCCTTCACCGGGAAGGGTGAGTCCGTCATCCTCTGCCCTTTCCCAGGGGGTACCCACTTCCTTCTGGTCCTCCCTGGCGCTCTCACGTTCACGTGTTCTGGTGGTGCACACATGCAGTGGGGAGTGGGGAGGTCACAGGCCAGCACCGCACATGTGATTGACTCCATGGCTTCCGCACATGAGGCAGCTAAGGGGCTCACAGTGGGAGTGAGCCCGGTCATCCCATCCCATTACAGGGACTACTTCACTTACCAGGTAGGGTTAGACCTGTGTAGTCCTGGGGCAAAGTCGGCACCTGGTGCTGGTGGCTAAAATGTGAAAGATGGAAACTACATTAGAATGGAGCATTTGCGGCTCCCGGTTACTAGATACAGAGGGTGAGATTGTGGCCAAAGCACTGGCCTTGCACCCAGGAACCCAGAGCCCAGAGCACCCAAGGCATGGCTGACCTTCCTCCTGCATATTGCCTGAAGCCCTCTGAATAGCCACACCACGGCAGGGGCACAGGAGGTGGGCGCAGGGGCCCAGCCTGTGTCCTGGGCCAGGTGCTGTGGAAGCCACATGCAAGTCCAGGCCTCACTGCATGGTCAGCTCTTCTGCCTGAGCCTATCAGGACCAGGATGGTGCAGTCTGGGCTGCAGGCACCACTCAGCCCAGAGGCCACGTGACATTAATCTGTGGCCTGTGACTCAATAATTAAGGGGTCCCAGACACCTCCCTTCATGGTCTTACCACAGAACCTAACATAGCTTGTGGAAGAGGGAATTATTTAACACCAAGGCTGTGACTCAAGGTCTGAAAATATCCTCAGCCCATGTTATCCGTTTGCTTTGCGCACAGCTAAAATACCTTCCTTTGGAGGTCATGCGTGCAGTAGCCGTATGGTTTCTTTCCCTGAGCCTGCTAAGCACTTTATACATCTGGCCATGAGCTGTTTTCTGAAATGTCCTCAGGCGGGACATTAGTCACCATCAGTGTGTTGCGAGCGGTAGAGGTGAGGCTTAGAGAGTGGCTAGGACTCTTTCAGCCTAAGGGATACTACACGTCTCAGCCAGACTGTGGCCAAAATTGATTGCTACTTCTGTTTTTTCAAGGCCGTGTCTCCCCTCCAGCCATCTGCCCTGCACATGCCAGCGACATCACTCTCCATTGTTAAGCTACTTTACTGTCCGCTCGGCTTCCACGCTGCTCACCCTCTGCAGATCTCCCAGTGCTGGCTGGTGTTCTGTCAGTTGTAGCAGTGCCAACCGAGCTTCTGCGTAGGAGTTCCGCATCGACAGTCCCTTAGATGTCTGTCCACTCCCACTGTTCTTGCTTCTTTTTTTCTGTTCTCTTTGTGGGCTTGAGCTTTTTATTCCTTTGCTTCATTTTGCGTGGGCTTGAGAGGAGAGTAGATAAGCATGCTAATTAGGAGCAATAATAGAGTATGTTTCAAAGCTTCTAAACATTTAGTGATGACTTATTTTTTCCTTAGCATCATGGTGTGTACTTAGTCTCCACCTAAATGTCAGATGAGTCTTGTTATACTATTTGTTAGTTGTCAAAAATTGAAGCAATGCAGGAAGGAAAGAAAGCCACAGCAGGATCTCAGAGTTGCCCTGTGTGGGTTTGTACGTTGATGGGTGCATTTCCTTTCAGCCTTAGGCTGTGCAGTACCGTCTGACATAGTTGCAGCCTATTTGTAATGCTGCATATTTTCATGGACTTGACCTAGTACTACATCATGTAGACATTTCCAAATTGCCTGTCACACAGTCACCTCGCACACACATGTGTTTCCACTCATTCGTTCCTCCCTAGTGCTGCTTTTGTGGTACTTCCGGTCTGTGCTGAGCAGTCAGGTAAGGACAATGTGGTGCTAACAATGATGACATTCAGATTATTCCTCTGTTCACTAGCCCATTCCTCTGTGTGTGGATGTTTGATTTCTGATGATTCCTCCTCATCATAAAAATACTATGCCAGATGAATAGCACAGTAACTAATACTCTTTTTGAAGTCTGGAGTATTTCCTGGGTTGTGTCTTAGAATAAAAAAAAAATTCAAAACCCAAAATCTGAAGTGCACTTGGGAGACTACCCAGGAAGCAGTCTGTTTTTGCCTGGCTGTCTCCAGCCTCTGGCCGCCCTTGGAGGCCCTGGCTCCTGGCTCCCAGCACCACAGCCCCATCCAGACTCACCACTCTGAACTGGCTTGGCCTGAGCCAGCCATCGCAAAGCCAAAGATGCTGTTGGTGCATTATTTTATTTCTTAGTGCTATCCTGCAGTCTCTAGTAGAGTCTAAAGGAGCTAAGACAGTAGTTCGCACTAAGATTAAAAAATGTACCTATCTTATTAAAATGCATTTTCCAGGAAGTATTCACATTTTGACAAATGGGTAAACAAAAAGAAATGGTTTCTAAGAAGAGAAATGCAGACCATTTGATAAACATTTAAGGAACTCTTTTAGGCAGGGTACCAATCCTGGACCTCAGACATTCTGCCAGCAGGCTGGGAATTAGACCAGCCTAGAATGTAGTCCATTAACAGCTTTCCTCTACTTCTATACTTCGTAATTATAGTTATCGATTAAAAATAATGGAATAAGTGGTAGTATTACACAATGAAAAATAAAAGATCCTTGGATCCTCCACTCACCTCATCTCACACACACGACTTAAGACCCTTAGCACAATTCCCAACAGCACTGCTGAAGCAGGGGTTCCTCGGCCTGAGGTGACCGAAGGCGTGTGCATGCAGCTATGCACCTTGAGTCTGTCTGCCTCTGCCCCCTGTGTGGACCTGAGCAGGTCAGAGGGCCCACGGCTGCCCGTGTGCCACGTGCTGAGGGGCCTCTGAGGCACTGAAGCTGCAGCACACAGCTAGTTCTGATTCCCCACATGGGTTCGAGTCTCAGAAGTTCTGCAGTTTTCCCAGCTGCCCAAGGTTGTACTGCATAACCCCAAGAGAGAGTGCAGATGCCCCTAGGAAGCTAATTCCCATGCTGTTTCCAGGTATCCTTTGAACTAGGGATGCTGGGGTAGAAGACTTGATAGGAGTCAGGCTCAAGCAAAGCCTTGGACTGTCGTCTAGGTATTTTGCTTGTGATAAATTTGTCATTTTTTATGGAGACATTAGAAATCCATGTGGTCTTCTCTTAGTTATAAATTCCTTTAACAATGCTTTTGAAGTCAGCAGCCCAGGATAGGATTACTCACAAGTTGGTGAACCCACAAACATGTGACCTCACAGAGGCAGGGCCATTGCACATGTCATTAGAGCCTTCTGCTCCCATGGGCACGCCACTGAAGAAAGCACTTGGGAGGCTGCAGGGGAATCACAGCGAGGGGTCAGCTGCTGCAGAGTAGGGGCTGGGAGGGGATCTTTTAGGGTCCAGAACTTTGCCTTGGCTTTCATTGGTTCTTTAGGACTTATAAAAATGCTGCTGGTAATGGAAGTGACAATAAGGTTATAGCTAACCTTTATTAAGTGTCACTGAACAGGGATAAAATACCACTTTTTTCATAAAATGCCTAATACAACTATTGAATAATTAATTTTCTTAATAAATTAAAGAGCAATGGATTCCAATTCTTTTCCCACCACTGTAAGAATTAATACAGTGAATACTTGCATACCAGAAGACATTTATAATTATTGGATAGACTAATTAGTTGATTAATCACAAGGGAAGCAAAGGGCTATTGAATTATTATTTCATATTGCGCTTTCCAGTTTGTAAAACACTTTCACTTGCACTGCAAGAATCAGGCACTGCGTTGCCCCACATGTGCCTGGGAGCTCAGCTTGTGGCTTCTGGATGACATAAACCAAACATCACGTTCTACCAAATAAATGCATACAGCTGCCAACTAAGGAAAGCACATTTTCTCTAAAGAGAAGGGTGTTGTGTTTTTGGAAGGGAGTAAAAGCAGTTGGCACCACCCAGTCGGTCCCTGCCCAGCTGCTGGTGACCCAAGCTGTTCCACCTAGCTGCGGGCTCTTTGCTGCCCCATCCTAGATCCTTCCCGCCTTGCTGCCTGCCCCTCAGTGATGCTGCGGTTTTCAGTGGGACATCATGACATGGGACTGTCCTGAGTTCACATGCTGACTTGCTGCTTGCCAGTTGGGTGGCTGCAAGCCCTCTCGGAGCCTCATGGTCCTCCTTTGTGAACAAGGAATGATGCTGTTGACCTCAGGAGAGAATTGTGAGCAGAATCAGATAATCTTCATATAATTCTCAAGCACTCATGCCTGCCTGATAGACAGTAGTACTTGTTGCTAGCATTTCTGGTTACAGAAGGAAGAGACCACATGATGTTAGGGAGTCTCTTGGGCCATTTATTTGCATAGCTAATGCATAGGACAAGGCCCCACCTCCAGCAGCACAAAGGTGAGAGCCTCTTGGTAAGCCCTTCCACGTTTGGTTGTCTTTACTGTATTCAAGAGTTCCCAAGACTTATCTGTGGCAGTATAGTGGAGCTAAGAGTCCTGCTGCTGGCACGGGGTCTGCATGGCTGGTGGAGGAAGTCCTAGACCACAGAATGGCAGACAGAACAGTGTAGTCACTGTGTGTGCTCTGGGGTCTGAGGCCCGGTTCTGTGACACTGAAGGATGTTTCTGTAACCTTGGGGTGCCCTGCGGCCTTTCCTTTCCATGCTTCAGTATTCCCACTTCCTGTAAGGGGAATTGATACGAGTTACTATACATTACATTAATTTACATTAATTACCATTAATAATTACAAACTAAATCCTCATCTGTTTCCACTTCTGACATTGGGTTTGATCAGTAAGCAAGTGGGGGCACCCAGGCCCACGGGTAGAACAAGGAGGGCCTCAGTGCGGCTGGAGACCTCAGAGGGTACCCTGCCGACCTCAGGCTTCCTGGGTCCTGATGATGCTGTGTGGCGATTCTGGCTGGATTTGGGTTTTCTAAGGGGCTACTGTGTGAGCATGACCCACCCAAGGCCGAGATTGGGACCCGGAAAGGTGCCCCGGGGTCTGCAGCGGTGACCAGAGTGGAACAGATGAGGCCTGAGCGGTATGGAGAGGAAAAGCCAGGGCTCAGGCTGGCTTAGCAGGCTGATGTCACAGGAGGAGGTGGTAGGTTAGGACAAGGAACAGCCCTGAATTTTCACCTACGCTTCTTGGGTATCATCTTTTGCTGACAGGTATGGTTCCTATAGAAGGAGGGCAATAAATAGTTATCGAATGAGTAGATAAAAAAAGCAAATTCAAAACTAAATTAGTTGATTCAAAGGGTTCTCAAACTAGTGGCTGAGGAAGGAAGGCCAGCCAGTACTAATCTGCAAGGTAATTTTGGGCTCATTTTCAACTCTCACCCATGGCTGAGAGTTGTCTTTTTTTTTAACTCATTGTTAACTTTATTGAAAATCAATAATAATTATGTAGCAAATTAAAAATTGTAGACAAATATTTAAATGTGAAAGATATAAGATGCAGACAGAGTGAATGTTAGAAAAATATTTTTGAAATGAATACATGAGATTAATAATAGATCGCATATTGTAAAAATTATTTACAAACTTAAATGAATATAACAATAAAACTTGTCTAAAATAAACATGAAGAAGACAGAGTTTACGGAGGAATAGATTTTTTTTTTCCTTGGCTGACTCAGTCAGCCTTAAGGGCAGGTCTAGTAAGGCATGTGGAACTGGGGATCGAACCACGGTACCCTGAGCCTGACTGCATTTGCATAAGAGTTGCTTAAACAGCTAATCTAACTGGCAGGCCTCCTTAGAAGACAGAGTTTACAGATCAGTCATATAATAGTTCCCTTTTCTTGTGCAAAATGTTCATTTTTCTTGGAAATATGGGGCTCTAATTTTAACTAAATTCAGAAATTGTAAATCTTTAAATATTTATTGCCTACCCCATTCTACTCGGAGAATTCTAATTACGTGAATGTAAGTTTCTTGATTTTGCGAGTTGTCTTGATGTTGGTTCACTACGGTGACTTAGAAAAATGTCAACACACAAACGAATGTTTCTCTCTTAGGCCAACTGTAACCATTCGGCATATATAACTGAAACAATATCTATTCATTTTTAATGACATTAAGCATTAAACATCATAAAACTCAGATGAACAAAACAAAGTAATATTTAACTTTGAGATCATTCCAGATGATAAGTTTGACAGACTTGACAAAATGGTTTTGAATTTCTTCCAAGAGAATAAATAGCCAAGCAAATATTTAAAAAACATAGTATGGGAATACTTTTATCATCATTCGCTAAAATATGTTATAAAATGACTTTAGTTTAAGGAGTGTAGGGTGGCAGCAGGGGCAGAGGTGAGGGTAGGTGGAAAGCACGGAAAGATTAGCTCCAGGCCACAGGACAGTGATGCAAGAGCTGGCTGTGACTCCAGAGACAGAACTCACCCTCTAATTACGGCCCCTCCCCAGACTTCAGCCTAAATGTGGACTGTGGTTGAAGCCTCCTATTTAGGACCATGGTTGGCAACTTTGATCCTGAAACCCATCATAATTCTTTTCTAAAACTGTGGCATCCTCAGTAAAAATATGCCACTCTGGGATCATGCACCCGGCCGGACCCTGCAGCTGGAGCCAGGGAGGGCGCCGCATGGGTGCAAGCCCTGGCCCTGGCCCTGCGTCTGGTCCTGCAGCTGGCAGACACTGACCCCTCTCTGAGGGTGGGTCAGGATGGTGCAGGCGTGGGCTCCCGCTTACTGAGCCTGGAAGGTGGGTCAGGATGGTGCAGGCGTGGGCTCCCGCTTACTGAGCCTGGAAGGTGGGTCAGGATGGTGCAGGCGTGGGCTCCCGCTTACTGAGCCTGGAAGGTGGGTCCCGTTATTCGGTGACCTCTCTAAGTGAATCTGTTCTTTTTTTAAATTTAAAACTGCATGCTTGTGCTCCCCCATTCCTGTGTTGAAATCAGCCTCCCTGTGAGACAGTGTTAGGAGGCAGGGCCATGGGACAGGTTGGATCAGGAGAGCAGAGCCCTGACCAGGGCTGCAGTGTCCTTTGAAAAGAGACATGGGAGTGGTCGCTTGCTGTCTGTTGGCTGGGTGCCACGTGAGGATGTGGCAGGAAAGCAGCGTCTGTACCAGAAGTAGGCACCAGAACCCAGCCATGCCAGGACCTTGGCTATATTTCCAGCAGTGGCCTGTGCCAGGAAAGGTATGGCAAGAGCTGTTTGCTGCCGTGTTTACCTTTCTAAGCTCACACAAGCACCCCAGGGCTACATGGTAAAGGCACGTCTGGGGGTGGGATTCCAGGCTCAGCACACAGCTAAGAGCATGGTACTATTAAAAGAAAGGCCTTCCATGTCTGTAGCTAGTGTTTTAGAAAGTGCATAAAAGACACCTACAAAGAGGGGACTCCTACAGAGGGGACTCCAAGGGACAGAGAGATCTCTGCTTGGAGTCTAAAGTACCACCCTCTTAGCTCCCTAGCATCATGTTCTTGGTAAATACTTGTAAGTTCTCCATACTTCCAGCTTCTCATTGTGAGGGGAGGCATTGGGGCCTCTACTTGACCCTAGTTTTGGGGTTCTGTGAAGGGTAAATATGATGAGGCAGATATGGTTTATAGATTGTAAAGTGCTGTGTTTAAGATTGTTAGAGTGTTCCACTAGGCCAAGGTAACACCTACTCACAAATGTTTAGGAATAAGATCAACTACCATGTTATTCTACAAAAGAGAGATGGGATGAAGAAAGGAAGGAAGGAAGGAAGGAAGGAAGGAAGGAAGGAAGGAAGGAAGGAGGGAGGGAGGGAGGGAGGGAGGGAGGAAGGAAGGAAAAAGGAAGGATGGAGGAAGGAAGGAAGAAGGAAGAATGGATGAAGGAAGAAGGAAGGAAGGAAGGAAGGAAGGAAGGAAGGAAGGAAGGATGAAGGAAGGAAGGAAGAAGGAAGGAAGAAAGGAAAGAAAGAAGGAAGAAGGAAGGAAGGAAGGAAGGAAGGAAGAAGGAAGAAAGGAAGGAGGAAGGAAGAAGGAAGGAAGAAGGAAGGAAGCAGGCAGGTAGGCATGCAGGCAATTCCCTGGAGAATGGAAGTGGGCTGCCTTTAAGAGTCAGGCCATGCTGAGGTCAGAGGCCAGCCTTGTGCATCTGCACGACTGGGTTTCTGGATGCAGGCTGTCTCTGGGTTAGGGATCCACCTCTCTTCCATCAGGGGCAATTCTTACAGGGCTCAAATGAAAGCCACCAGCCACAAGCTTCCCAACAAATGAAAGCCCCTGTTGGGGGGGTCTGGGCAGCACACCAGTCTCCCCTGCAGCTGGTGTGGGGAGGATAAAGTGATGTGGGATCTACAGAGACCTGAGCACAGTGCCATGCGGCACCTGCTGAGTTGGCTCCTAGTGTTGTTGCCTGACATCACTATTGCATCATTCCAACTGCATCCCCATGGGGGTTCTTTGTCTTCTAGAATTTTCTTCCAGCCCACTGTAAATTGCTTAACACAATGTGTTTTGGTTTGTCTAGGCTTTTGACATTTGCAGTACCTCCCTCCCCAGTGGAGCACAAACTGTGGCTCATAAACAGAACTTAACAGCTGGTTGTAGGATAGAGAGATGACACAGGTGATAGAAGTGCTAAGTCACATGAGAACGGACACCTGCAGAGAGTATCCCTGGGCTGTCTCTGTGAGCAGTGGGGACCTTGCTTCCTGTGTCTTCATTGTGACCCAGGCCATAACTGTTTGCCTGTCCTCTACATTCTCTCCTAGTTGCTCTGGACTCCTGGCAGTCCCTGGCTGTCTCCTCAGTAGCTGTAGATCCATCCCTCAGGGACTTTGATATCGCCCACATCAGCACTGCTGCCACCAACTTCTCAGCTGCCCGAGACTTCTGCTTGCAGGGTAAGAGGACTCCACACCCCAGGGGGAATGTATCAGGCTTCCCCACAGCTGCTCCAGGTCCTGACTTCAGAGACTCACAGAGATTTGAGGACAAATGAGTTGGGTTGGCCTGGCAGGAAGGCATTAGCTGACAGGAGGAGGCCTGAATGGGTTTCCCCACTGCTGTGCTGTGTGATCCTCATGACAAGGAGGAGAGGGACTTGCTGTGGGCAGGTTCATACACTAAACTAATACATGGAGCAAAACTTGAAACTGAGGAAATTTTCTTCAGTACAATTTAAAGAACTTTCCAATAGGCAAAAGTATCTACAGATGTATAATTCCTCTATAGAGTTTCTGTCTTAGTTACTTTTCACTCATTGCTGGGACAAAATACCCAACACTCAAAATTAAGGAAGGAAAGATTTATTTAGCTCACAGTTTGTGGAGGTTTCAGTCCATACTCCGCTGGCACCAAGGCAGAGTGGGACAGGGCAGAGTGCAGCAGTTCATGGTGGTGGAGAACAATAAAGAGCAAAGGGAGGAGCAGCAGCTACAAGAGCTGGCAAGCCTCCCTTCCTCCCTTACATTGTATTCAGACTATCTGCCCCAGGGCATATGTAGCACTCATACCACAATCCCAGTGTTGGATGATGAATGAATCACAAACTCTAAAAGCCTGTCCCAGTGACTGCATGAAGCTTTGAGGGGACAACTAGACACAAACCATAATAGTTTCTAATTATTGTGTTCAAACAATAACTAGGTGGTCACTTGATTGGAATACTCTGCAAAAACATTAAGCTTCTAAAAGTTGCTAAGGTCAGATGCCATTTACACTCTTGCAAGATTCTGAAGCCCTCTAAGATTCCATGAAGGCCGGGAATCTCTCCTACAAGATTGGATAATAATACTCACACAACTTTGTTTATCCCTCAGACAAGGCCACCATGTACAGATGTACAGACTGTGTACTGCACAAATGTAGTTGGTGTCACTCAGAGACTGGGTTCAAATAATACCTCAAGCCATGTAAACCTTGCCCAATCAAACAAAGCAGCACTGTTTTCAAAAGCAGTCTTAGTACTAAATGCCATGAAACGGTTGAAGTAGATTGTCCGGTAGAGGAGGTAACTGGCAAGGGAAAGGGTATAGTCCCCAGTGGAACATGCACAAATGTGTGGGGTGAGCAGGTATGGAAACAGGACAGCAGGAGACTAGGCGAAGTGAAAGGCAAGAGCTGGAACAGGGACAGCCTATCTAGGACCACTTCAACTTGAGCCCCTTGAGGAGCCGGGGGAATGTTTTCAGCAGGGACTGCTAAAGGCCACTTAGGAATCAAACAAACAGTAAAAATCTTGACTGTTGTGTGGAAAATAGATGAGCAAGGGCACGGCCCCCTCCATGGTATCTTCAGTCTTGTCATGGTGCACAGGGCTTGTAGTAGGTCTTCAAATGAATGGACAGTGGAAGGACAAATGGAAGGATGGAGAGATAGATGGAAGCATGAGTGCTTGTTTTCATGGCAGTACAATTGGATGGAAGGATAAATGGATGACAGGTGGGTGATTCATGGAGGCTTGCATGGTTGGATGGAAGGCTGGATGGACCAGCTGATGGATGAAAGGATAGATGGATAGAGGGGTGCGTACCTGCACAGATTCATGCTTTTATAATGATTTGGAAGGATGGGAAGATCATATATGTGTGGGCTTATGGGAATGTAATCGGATAAAAGAATGAATTAGTGAATGGATGGGAGGATGAATGACTGCGTGTTTGATACAGTCATGCGTGCTGGCGTGAGTGAAGTTGATGTCTGAGGCCACACCTCTCTCCTTCCTTTGCCCTGCAGAATGTTTCCGTCACCAGGCCTGTGTCACCATCACTCTGCAGACCTGGCCTGGAGCTGTGCGGTGTGTGTTCTACCCTGACACCCAGAGCTGCACACATAGCCTGCAGGGTCAGAGCTGCCGGCTCCTGCTCCGTGAGGAGGCCACACACATCTACCGCAAGCCTGGTGAGTCCCAGCCTGGCCCGTGCGGCTGTCCCTGAGGCCCTGAGGGAAGCGGAGGGACAGTCTGCATGGTGACTTGGTGGACAGTGGCTTTATTAATTCTCAAGAGGAAGTTGGCCAAAATTGCCCAAGGCAAGGTGGCCCTCAGCTGGGGCAGACTGAAGGAAAGTAGGAAAAACTCTGTAATTTTTTATTAACTTATTTCTTTAAGTTAGAGAAGCCAATTTGGCCTTTGAATTTCTCAGTATAATATGAAATAGGCCACTTTATTACTGCTTTTGTAGCTTAGAGAATTCTTTCACTTGCCGTATTTAATTCGAGTATCACATTAATCTTGTGAGGTGGTGGGATTTTAGTTTTAATTGCTTTCATTTTTGTTTAGTTAGTACATAATGATTATATTTATTATGAGAACTTGGAACCTATCAATATATATCTTAATTCTTTTTTAAAATTTCCTACTTCTCCTCCCCTTCCCTACTTGTCTCAGTCCCACTTAAAAAACCTGTTTTCATCATTCTTCTCCTTAATTCTTTTTTCCATCCCCTTTCCCTGCCCTCCTTCCCTCTTCCCTACCCCATCTCTTATTCTCCCATCCATATGAAAAACATCTCCCCACTTACATTTATGTATTCTCTCTCCCTCCCTGCCTCCTTTCCTCCTGTTCTCCGCCATATATATCCCCGTGTGTGTGTGTGTGTGTGTGTGTGTGTATGTTTTCTCATATAAAGTGTGTGATTTTTTAAGTTTGTGTCAGACTTATTTCATTTACTATTATGTTCTCAAATTGTACCCACTTATCTACAAATACCTTGTATTTATTTTTATTTATGGCAGAGTATTATTCCACTGTGTATAAACATCACATTTTCTTTATCAGTTTATCTCTTGATGGGCATATAGGCCACTTTTGTCTATTAAAACTTGTGCTATTATAAACAGATATGTAGATATCTCTGTAATATGATGACTTTAATTCTTTCAAGACAATACCTAGTAAGGGAATAGCTGGATCAAATGGAATATCTATTTTTAGCTTTCTGAAAAATCTCCACACAGATTTTATGGTGGTTGTATTAGTTTACATTTCCATCAACAATGTGAAGCGCTCCATTTCCCCCAAATCCTTGTAGCCTTTATATTCTTTGATTTCTTGATGATAGACATTTTTTTCTAGAGTAGGATGGTATCTCAATGTTCTTTTAATTTGCAGTTCTTTAATGGCTAGCAATGTTGATCATTCTTTCCTATATTGTGTATTGGCCATATTGGCCATTTGTATTTCTTTTTTGGAAAAGTGTCTATGTACTTTGGATACCCATTTTTTCTTTTGATCTAGCCTTTAATTATGGGGAGGTATAATTTTTTCTGAAGTTTTTATATCCTAGATATTAGTGCTTTGTCTGTGGAATAGCTGGAAAAAAATCTTTCCCCATTCTGTAGGTTGTCTCTTCATTCTGTTGTTTCTTTTGATGTGCAAAAGACTTTTAATTTGACAGTATCTCATTTGTTGATTCTTGGTATTATTTCTTGTGCCACTGAGATTCTCTTCAGAATGTCCTTGCCTATCCCTTGCCTTTCAAGAGCTTTACCTATTTTATCTTCTGGCAGATCATTACTATTTTTAATAAATGTCTTTGATATATTTTGATTATAGTTTAGTACCTGGTGTGATAAATGGGTCTAGACTCAATCTTCTGCATATGGCTATCCAAGTTTTCCAGTCACCACTTATTAAAGAGGTTATCTTTCCTGTAATGTATATTTTTGTCCCCATTCTCCAAAGATCAAATAGGTGAATGTGTCTGGGGCTCTTTCTGCTTCCTCTCTCCTGTTCCATTGTGCCTCTTCTCTGCTACTGTGCCAGTACCATCTCGTTTTAACATGTTCCCACTGGCTTGAACCAGCTGTGGTACATGCATGACTATTCTGTTGGCAGCTGGTGTGACTGGTGGTACGAATGGACCTATCCATTTTTGTTAATCTTATAACTAATAAAAATAATAAAAACCCACTTGATGAGACAGTTGTGCATATATCATTTGTGGCACAAGCCACTTGGCAGCAAGACATACAAGTTAGAGCACTGCTGTGAATGCGTTAATCACAACAGCATTGTAGTACAACTTTGAATCTGGGCTTGCGGTGCCTCCTACTAAGCTCTTGTTGCCCATGATTGCTTTGCTATCCTGGGTCTCTTCCGGTTCCATATGAATTTTAAGATTGTTTTCTATAGATCTGTGAGAAATGCTACTGGCATTTTGATTAGAACTGTGTTAAATCTATATATCAGTTTTGGAAGTATAGCCATTTTGACTACATTTGTTCTGCCTATTCAAGAATGAGGGAGGGGCCAGGGAGATGGCTCAGTAGAATAAGCACTTCTCTGCCAAGTGCAAGGGTCTGAGTTCAATCCCCGGTTTGCCAAAAAATAAAACTAAAAAATAAAAAAACAAAAGAATGAGGGATATCTTTCCATTTGCTGATGTTATCCTTAGTTTTGTTGTTCAGAGTGACATAATTTTCATTGCAGAGGTCTTTCACTTTCTTGGTTAGCTTAATTCCTAAGTGTTTACTTTTCCTGATACTATTATGAATGATATTGTAACCCTTATTTCTTACTCAGTGAGTTCATTGTTAGTGTACTGGGATGCTATAGATGTTTCTGTGTTTACTTTGTATCCTGCTATCCTACTAAATTTGGTTATGAATCTAGACATTGTTTTGTGAAATATTTTGGATCTTCTATGGAGAGGATCGTATCATCTGCACATAATGATACTTTGACTTTCTCTTTTTCTATATGTATCTCTTTTATTTATTTCTCTTACCTGATTGCTCTGGCTAGTGTTTCAAGGTCTATGTTGAGGAGGAGTGGTAATAGTGAGCAGCCCTGTCTTGTTCATGATTTTGAAAGTGAAATTTTTCCTTATTTAATATGATGTTGAAAGTAAGTTGGTCCTAAATGGCTTTCATTACATTGAGATAAGTTTCTTA